AAAAATATATATATATATATATATATATATAACAACCAAAAGTTTGAGAACTAAATTGGATATAATTAGTAAATAATATGATATTTTTAAAATTTTTATAAATTTTAGAAAGTGTTTTTAGTTTAAATTTTCTAGGCGTTTAAATTTTTTAGGAAAATACTTTCTTGAAAATCAAATTAAATTTTTCTTTGACTGAAAAATATTTTCTCTTGATCAATTTTTTTTAATATCAAACAAATTTTTCTTTAATTGAAAAATATTTTCTCTTAATTAATTTTTTTTTAATATCAAATAAATATAAAAAATTTTTAAAAATAATTATTTTAAAAATAAATTTTAAAAAACAAATATTTCATGCAGATGGAGTTGCATGAAGCCATGGGACGTGACTTTGATGCTTCGAAGGAAAATGAGATGAGGGAACATGATGTCAGGAATAAAAATGGAATGGTACAAAGCCAGACCCGTGGCAAAAGGCTTTGATAAAAATGGAATCTTTTGAGATGTTTTTTCTTTCGATTGGAAAAGTAAATTACCTGCAATTTAACATCAAGCGACGTCGGTAACTGCACTATGAAAAGGAGGATGGTAAATTCTAGTATAAAATTATTAGCCTGGAAGCATATGATTGGCTGATTTCATTACTTAACAATGAAGTACTTTATCTTGAGTTAGCTTGTTATAGTTTATGTAAGCCTTAGATGTTAATCTAGTACGAGGAGGAGGTTACTGTCATTCTTAGCAATGAAGTATCTTAGCACGTGAAGTGCTGAGACACGAAGAATTAAGTGTGCTTGTTAAGTCGGCATAAAAGCCTATGAAGAGGCACCTGTAAGCTGCATCATCGTACTATGATTTTGGCAATGCAAAACCTTAAGCCTGTATGGTTGCCTATATACATAAATGTTTCTTCTCATAATAATATCCTCATAGGATTAGAGAATCAAACTTTGAAGTGGTAGCGGAGCCCATGCCAAAACTTTACCAGTATCTGTTGCTGTGGGAAACAGCACTGCTGATCACATGGTTGTGGGGTGAATATTGCTTTCTTCGTCTCTGCTTTGATTAAGATAGCTCTTTATGATGTTGCCGCTAGCTGCTAATGTATTTCTAAAGCCTCTGTGCCTTGAGTGTCTAAAGTTATATGGCTACTAGAATGATTTCAGGGGTCCGTACCATACTCATGGTATCTGCAATTCCATCATGCTGTGATGTTGCCGGTCCTTAGCTAGACTCTAATGGATGATTCTACTACTACCTTCGGTTCTTGGATGTTTTTGAGCACGAGTGTTCATGGGACAGAGTTGTTCCCTCTCATGGTTGTGCTTTACTAAAATTATCCTTCCTGGACCTGGTTTTTCTTCTATTCATATCTGTTTCTGCTCGAATGCTCCTCCTCTTGTGTTCCAATCACATCACGACTGCTGAAACCCTTTGCTCAAGCCTCTTCTTCTACTGTTCATTCATATTTTTGCTTTGAGATGATGCGAAGGTGAGAGAATCTATCAATTTTTTGCTTTGAGATGATGCGAAGGTGAGAGAGTCTATCAATTTTTATTTTTTTTTCATCCTAAACTGCAGCTTTTTTCCCCATTTTCTCTCCACCTTGTGTTCTTTTATCAGCTATGGTTCATAAAAAAGAGTGATTAGGCTATTATCTTCGTAGTCTTCTTTTTTAATAAAACTTTCAGCTATTGTAAAAAAATAAAATAAAAAATGATTGCTTATTTCACTCAAATCCTCAATACAGATATGGGCATAAGAGGGATAGCCCCAGATTAATCCCTAATCTATACATTAATTCTCAATTAGGTTCTCGAACCATAAGTTAATTAGTTTTCTAACCCTATCCCGATACATTAGGGTTTCCATCTAAAGCACCACCTTGAGCAATAATACAATGCCATTTTTAGCATAACTTTTTTCTATAAAGAATCCTCAATTATTCTAGATGAAAGGATTTGATTGAGGACTGATGTATGGATTAAGAATGAAATTGAATAAAAAATAACACCAATAAATAGGGAATGTCAAGTTAGCCCAAAAATCATTTGAGTGGATAGAAGTACATGCAAGGTACTGTTTTCATAATTAATCAATAATTTATAATTTTTCTTTTATATAAAAAATCTTGCGCAACTAAAATGGTATAAAATCATTTCCTAAAATTAATTTCAAATAAAAAGTTAAACTTTGAACTAAATAAAGTTAAATTGACATTACAATCTCATAAATTACATAATATTTTTTATTTATTTATGTGTGATGTCCAAACCAATTTATATATATATATCTTAATTAATTCTAATAAATAATAAAATTAATAACTAAATAAACCTCTAATAATTATTAATAGGCACGACACTGGATTACTGACACAACTGATAGATGCTACACAATTTACCACAACATATTTAGTTTGATAGATGGTATTACCTCTGCACAATTGATAATTACTGACACTCCATTCAATATTGCCATAAGAATTTTCTCTATTTAGGGACATATTTAGTTTGATAGATGGTATTACCTCTGCACAATTGATAATTACTGACACTCCATTCAATATTTGCCATAAGAATTTTCTCTAACTATATGGAGTAGTGGCATTATCAACACCTAATTAATTAATTACAAGTGCAATTATAATTGCTTGGATACTATTTTATTTTAACGACAACAGCAACAATCTTGAGATGTGAGGAGGAATTAAATTAAATCTATGAATTTTGTGTCACAGCTGCAAATTTGAAACCATTTATAGCTTAAATTTTAAGGAAAAAATGAATCTATAAGTAAAATTGTAATTCGACGTGTAAAATAAAACTATCTTTATAACTGAAAAGATAAAATAAGAAAAATATTGGGTATAATCGACAGTCCAAAGCTAAAATAGCAAACAAAGGAAATAAAAAGTAAGGGGATTGGAATTGTTAAAAAAGAAAACAGCCACTTCTAGAAAGGGCGTGTTCACCTGGAAAGTCTTTAAACGGAAACCTTAGTAGAGAAGTATTCACTGACCCTCTTGCTCTCTCCCCTCATCGCACGGATGAAACACGTCTTCGCGCGATTGCTGTCTAAATCCCCTATATAACCAATTTCAAAGTACTTTGTCGTTCGAAGGGTTTTCTGTAGTAACGAAAAGTCTTCTCATCAAGTGAGCAATGGTGGATCTTGATGCTTCGAAGACTGGTGATAGCAGTAAGTATATAGAAGATCAATATAGTTACTTGGTTCTTCTCTTTTAGTTGGCGCGTGCATGTTGTTTCTTGTTCAATCCAGATATGAAATATTTGAAAGCCAACTTCACCCTGCAATTTCAAAATAGGTCTGGGTTGTGGAAAATTCATCTCAATTTCCAACTTTTATGTACCAGTTCTTACTCTGTCTCGTCCTATTAAAATGAGATTTTTAAAGCAGACATAGACAATGGCTTTGTTTTAATTAGATATATTTTTCTTTTCTTTTTCCCTTTTTGGGATAAGATTTTAAATTTTTAAAACAATTGGAGGGATTTTGTTCTACAAAAATAGAAAATTACTGTTTTTTGGTTTTTATTTGTTTTTAACAATCGAAGAGTTTAATGTGATGATAAAACTTGGCTATAATTGATTAAACGAGGGGAATCCGTGAACATAGTTGTTTTCACTCATAAGTTTCTTCTTCTTCTTTCCATAGATAGAACCTTATTGCTTACAGTTAGAGGATTAGCAATAGAAGTTGGTAATTAGCTGACAACAACAAGAGATGCTTGTTCTAGAAAACTACAAAAGCGATTAAGCTAGCCTCTTCTGAAAAGCTGAAGGATTAACTTTGACCTCTTCTTGAGTACAAACAGAGACTGAATCCCTATTCGAACCACTCAACCTTCTCCTCGAAGGAGCGAGGTTGGTATGAGTCCCACCTAGCTAGAAGCCTACTGGTCTTTGACTCATAAGTTCTTGACCTTGGGTGAGAGTTGGATACTACGTGCATTATCATGTGCACTTTATCATGTTATTTATTTTAACTAATATTCTTTGTTTTTGTGGGATGGGATTAGCTTTGTTTTTGCGTGGCTTCCTGATGGCATCTATGGGAGTCCGTCTATTGCATCCAAATTCCTTATTTTGCTGGAAATCTCTTCAATGCCTATTTTTTGTTTTTTGTTCTTTCAATCTTGCTCAATACTTGCATACGTTTTATTTTGGCATTAAAAAAAAAAAGTTTTCACGGTGAGTTGGCACAATATAGATAAATGGAAGGTCATAAACATGGAGACTGTATTGGAGTAAAAGTAATTAACAGGAATCTATACTCTTTTATGTATCCATAAATTAACAGTCATAAATTCTTGCTATTAATTTTGTTTCCCTTTTAGTCCCTCAGGAAGGAGGCAGGGGGAAATTGAATGAAAACCCCATGAACCTGCTGCAAGGTGGAGAAAGGACTGTTGCTGGAGTTTCACCAGAGCAGAAAGTGAAAAAGAGAAAAGCAAGCAAGTGTGGGAAACGTGTGAAGGTAATAACAAATTTTAGCGTTAGCCATAGCTCTTGATCGAGGAGCAAAAAGGACCTCATTTTTGCTTTTTTCCTCCATTGCTTTCATTGTGTTGTCTTGATTTTGATAGAAGAGGGAATCAAAAGGGATGGTGCATTTCTTGATTTTGATAGAAGAGGGAATCAAAAAGGATGGTGCTACGTGCTATTGTTGAAGAAAATGAGAAGATCAAGAGTGGAAATGACATCTTAAAGCAGAAGTTGCAACTTAGGCAGGATGGCATCGAAATTCAGAAAACTGAACTTTGCGTTTCGCTGAACAAAACAATCACCGTTCAAGAAAACCTTGTGGAAGCATTGTGTCAAGAGCCATCATTCCAAAGCCTGATGGTGCGTTTCTCTCCGTCTTCCTTTCAATTTCTCTCCTTATTTTGTTTAATGGAAGCATAATATGCTTTATCACGTGCGGAGTAAATCAAAATTTAGACATACTAATTTTAGTTGCGGTAAATTATGTGCTTCATCTTCCCACTTAATCCAGCTATAATTAAGATGCTTAGGTCATGCTTGTAAACTGGTAGGACTATCATTGGTTCATGCATGGAAGGTTGTTTTTCATGAATCCCTGAAGCATATAAGAGGGGTGAATTAGATGCTATAAAAACTAATCTTACAATTTCAATTCATTTCAAACTAACTCAAAAAACTCAACAACATTCATAAATCCTGTTCAATATCAAACCACCACACAACAAATACAAGGCAATAATGCTAGAGATTTCATCATCCAAATATAAGACCAGCTGATATCATTCTTATGTCCACCGCTAGGTCAAACGATCCTATCAACTAGCTCACACAAAACATGATTTGAAATAGTTAAAGAGCTGCTGAGCTGCCGACCCAGACAGAATCTTAAAAAACACGACATATTACATGTCGGATGACAATTCCAGATAAACATCCATATGACATTTCTCAATTAACACATCATATTCTTCCCTGGGAAATTGCCTGAGACCATATAAAATCTCATAAAATTTGGAAAGGAATGATTTTCAAAACCTGGAAGCAGCTCAACATAAATCTCATATATGATAAAACCATTAAAAAAAATGTACTCTGTAACGTTTATTTGAAAAAAAGTTGAAATCTTTGAAACAAGTAAATGCAAGTAACATGAGTATAAATTTTCATCTAAAAATTGATTCCTGGTCCCCATTAAAATCTACTCCTCCTTAGTTGTAACCTTGAGCCACCAAACCTATCTTTTTACGAACCACATTTTCAGACTCATCAAGTTTGTTTCTAAAGACCTATTTTGTTCCAATAATTTTGTTACCCTTGGATCTAGGGTCTAGGAAATAGTTTCCAAGGCTTGTCTTCTCTTATATTGATTGAGTTTCTGTTACATGACAAGTATTTAATACTCATTTTTCAAGGCATCATCACAAGTTTTAGCTTCAAGAAGGGAGATGAAACAAACATTATCGACGTGATTCACTATAGCAAATTTAGTTTGAACATATTTGAAATGTCTCCAATGATGTCATCTTATGGTCTTAAATTCTTTATAGCATTTGGAAGAACACAAGACGCTCACACATCAATTTATTGGTTGTCTTTGTTTTGAGCAATTTGAAGTTCTTCCATGGATTTGTCATTCTGCAATGCATCCCCATGAGGTTTATTTATGTTCAACTTATAAAGATCAACCTCTATCAATGTTCCTTTATCATTTCTCTCATCAAAAGGGTTAGATTAATAAAAACAATACATGCATTGGTTCCTATATAATAAGAACCCTTCTCTTATAAACCAATTATGTTTTACTAGTAGTGGAATATTTAAGAAAAATACTATCATCGAATTTAGCATCAAACTTTCCCAAGTTTTGTTTTGTATAAGTATGAAACATTTTGAGTGAAAAACTTGAAAGTAAGAAATATTGAGTTCTCTTAAACCAAATCTCATAAGGCATTTTATGTAGAATAGATCTAATAAGAACTCAATTTAAAAACATAACATAAAGTACTAAAGGTTTCCACCTAAAAATATTAAGGTAGACCATACTTTTTACACATAGTTCTTCTTGAAGTGACTATTTTTTCCTCTTAGCAACTCCATTTTACTATGGAGTTCTTGGTGTTGAAAACTCATGAATAAAAATATTTTCAATATATGATTTTTCAAAGGCAATACTATCAGATTTTCCACCATAGTCACTCCTAATTTTCAAAATCACAA